TAAATATTTTTGGCCATATCGCCCTGCTCTAGTCGGATATTCTTCTTCAGGATGTTTTTGTAGACAGCAGAATTCATGATTCAATTTACCACAACAAGCCTTGCAGGTGTGAGGCAGCAAAAGCAAAAGCCCCAGACCACCAACACTGCCCTCGCCATATTTTACTGTGAAAATGATGTTCCTGTTCAGAATTGTTGTTACTTTTACACCAAATGTAAAGAGACACATGCCTCCAAAAAGTTTCCGTTTTGCCTCGTCAGTCCACGGAATATTTTCCCAATGTCTTGGAGATGATGGAGACTTTCCTTTGGCAAAACTGAGACAAGATTTTATGTTACTACATAGCAGTGGTTTTCACCTCGTAACTCTGCCATGGATGCCATTTTTGCCCAGTCTCTTATAGTGGAGTCATGAACTTTAACCTTAATTGAGGCAAGTGAGGCCTGGAGTTCTTTGGATGTTGTTCTAGAGTATTTTGTGACCTCCTGGATGTGACCTCGGGAGTAATTTTGGTCATTCGGTCACTCCTGGGAAGGTTCACCATTGTTCCAAGTTTTCTCCATTTGTGCATCATTTGGCTCTCACTGTGTTTCAGTGGAGTCCCAAAGCCTTAGATGTGGCTTTGTAACCCTTTCAAGACTGATAGATGTCAATGACTTTGTTTCTCATGTTTTTCTTTACATTGCGGAATGATGTGTTGGTTTTTGGGATCTCTTAGCCGGCTTCACTTTGTCAGAAAGGTTCTATTAAAGTGATTTCCTGACTCAGCCTGCAAAAAGGTGTGATTAATCAGTTAATTCGTTATTTAACAAGGGGGCAATTCCTTTTTCACACAGCACCAGGCAGGCTTGGATAACTTTTCTCCCTTGATAAATAAACTCATCGTTTACGAACTGCATTTTGCATTTACTCAGGTTATCTTTGTCTAATATTTAAATATGTTTGATGATCTGAAACATTTAAGTGCGACAAAATGTGCGACGAAAAGTCAATAATCTTTTGACTTTAGACTTGAAAAAATTTTCTACGACTTGCAACTTTGTTAAGTCTAATTGTTGAATGTTGTAATCGTAGTTCTTAAATTTGTAAAGTCTTAGTTCAAACTATAGGATCAAGACATTCCTTTGTCCCCCCTCCCCAGCCTCTCGAGGTTCTGGGAGGAGGCTGTAGTGTTTTATCACAGACACATCCCTTGTAAAGACTCTGTTTGATGTTGCTTCCTGCTTTTATGATCCTTTTGGTGAGCAGGAGGTCACACAAACGCACTCGCATCACTCACACACTCACACACAGTGCCTTGTCTTTGTAACCAAGTGGGGTTTTACATCAATACTAGAGACGGCATGATGCCACTTTTTTATGTCCGATGCCAATATCATAAATTTGGATATCTAACAATACCGATAGTTTATTTCATAATCAAACTGTTTGTTTTTTTTATACCTTGCTACATGTTGTATAAGTTATACTCAAGTTTAAAAAATAAACACTAAAGCTAATCTGTTATACATATATGCAAAAATACCCTGCACCCAAAATATTTCATAGTTCAGCAATACTAATCAAGCTAATAAACTTAAAGGGAACCCCGACTATTGTGACAAGTTACTCTAAATATGTTACAAATTATCTCCAATAATTAAAAACATACTTGAGAATAACTACAATTTTTTTGTTATTCATTAAATCTTTGTTGTTTAAAACTATTTTGGAGCCGTGGGAGTGGCCATGTTTTTTTAGCACACAATGCATTCTGGGATGATGACGTGTATTGGTTGTCGGCGGTGTAGGTGCTTTCGTTCAGCTAACCTGTTTTGTTAAGTGTAGCACCGGTATTAATTAACTTGCCTATTAGTGACCTTGTTACGGCTTGGTAGACCAGCACTTCCGGTCTTTAAGTCTGACGTTATTAGCCATGTCTGAGTGGAAACTCCGCTGCAAAAATCAAATGATCACTGCAGCATTACTGAGAGTTGGAAAAACTGTCTAAATTTGTTCATCTGTAATAAAATGATCAGTGTGACTGCTCTGCCAGGTTTAACAATTAAGTTTAACATCCAGGCATCCATGAAAACAGAATTTATGACATTTAACTGAGTTAGAAGGTAGCAGGGAGCTAGCTCACAAGCTTCCATCTAAATATAATATACCATGTTCTGACTGAGAGATTTATGAAACAAATTAAAACGTACAGTTCTGCTATCACTTCCAACATAAATGATGACAGGAAAGTAAACAGCAGCGACATTTGTAGGGTTACTGAAGTTTGGCTAGCTGGTATATAATGATGTGATACGTGATCGCTAGCGCGACAAGCTATGTTAGCATAACATGGTAAATGGCCTGTATTTGTATAGCGCTTTACTAGTCCCTACGGACCCCAAAGGGCTTTACACATCCAGTCATCGACCCATCCACACACATTCACATACTGGTGATGGCAAGCTACATTGTAGCCACAGCCACCCTGGGGTGCACTGGAGGGTGAACACTAACAAATGGACTTTTTTTCCCATTCGATAAAAATTTATTTGAGGGTTCCCAATGGTTATAGGGACAAGTGCAATTGCATGACAGGATGCTATAAACAGACCAAACGTCAGTCAGGAGAACAGAAGAGATAATCCATCCACAATATGAGGTTAGTCATCAATATACTGCTGCATGGGCTTGGCTGCATCGTAAGCGTTTAAAAACACTTTAAAATGATTAGCGGTGATAAAAACCGAGAAGCCGACAGTGATCACTGACTGTTTTTAGGGGCTTGTTGAGATTAAACAGAACAAGATACAAGGCATTAAAACATGCTAAAAACACAACAGTCTTATTAAATGCAGAATACTTTGGGCCCGGAAGCACGATTCATCACGTTATTACTTAAAGACCGAATACACGGAGGCTAACAAGGGCTGCCCAAAGAACATCTGGATTAACATACGGCTTCAAAAAGTTTAGGTGCTTTACAACAAATGCTCAGTCGCCGTTGCCATTGAAAAGCAGTAGCCGCATACACACCAGTAGTTTTCCCTCACTCTCTCGTCCTCGTGTGATGGATTGTTTTCATCTTCATCAAAACTAAGTGCTGGTTAACTATTTTCTTCCTCTCTCTCGGTTGCTCTGGTCCAAACTGGAAAGGTTGAACAGAAGCCATTTCCAATGCGCCGCTAACTGTGAACTCGATGTGGTGCAACCGTATGACGTCACTACCCAGAGTGCATTGAGAAAAAAAATAACAATGGTAGAGCTGGGCGATAGAACGATAACGATATGTATCGCGATATAACTTTTTCTCGATAGAAAAATTACACTATTGCGATAGACCATGCCGCTCTTGTCCTCTTAAAAAAAAAAAAAAAAGATCAGCCAATCCAAATTAAGTAGCGCAGAGCCGAACCAATCACAGCCGCAGCGTCACGTCACGTGACTTGTTACGTACAGCACAAGTGCCAAGCCGCACATGTGTATTTGTTTGGGAAGCAGCCAGCCACCGTACCGCCCGGGTAATGGAGGAAATGAGTGTGCCGACTAGAAAAATCAACCGAGCGTGACCGAAGGTTACCGAAGAGAAAACAGATGATGGTTCCAATGCCGGAGAGATTGTCGAACGGAAGAGCCATAGAAGTTCCGTAGTGTGAAGGTATTTCGGCTATTTCAAGTCTGACAAAAAACAGAGTAGCGTGCACTGTAAATTGTGCCGAAAGCAAGTCTGGAAATACAATAAACTGGTGCATGCGCTACGTCCACACGTACCCGGGTATTTTTGAAAACGCAGATTTTTACTCCGGCCCAGGGTGGATATTTTTGAAAACTCCGTTTTTGCATGCGTGTCACACTGTGCGCCACGTTATTGTTTCGGTGAAATGAATTTCTACAATACTGTTACTGTTAATTCTACTCTCTGCAGTGTTTAAATGCTTACATATACACACAGTTACTGTCTCTCCACACATACGACTCGGTTCTGCTTCTATGCCCCAGCTTTGTTTACTTTTTCCCACCGAGGCTTCTAGACTTCTGATTGGCCAACATTTCTGCACGGTTAGGAATCTAGCGCCACCTGCTGCTTTGGCATGTTCATAGCAGCGTTTTCCTTCATTTCTGCCTTTATGTGTGGACGGGATTATTTTTTTAAAACGAAAACGGAAAATCTCCGTTTTCAAAAATACCCGTGTACGTGTGGACGTAGCCTCAGTCTCTGACTGGAAGCGCTAATTCGTCATTCGGCTTTTGTCAGACTAAAGTAACTGTTAAAACTGTTTGAAAAGCTAAGCTATACAACAAGGAGAGATTGAGAATTTCCTTTTAGTTCTCAGTTTATTTGATATTGACAAAAGTTAGTCAGTTTTGTCTGTTCTTCTGTAAAACAAACTAAGATTTATTTTTAGAATTAATATTTTGTTTCTAAGTGGAATTGACAATTTAGTCTGTTTTGTTTGTTCTATTTTGAAACTTAAACGCTTTAGCGGCTGCCTTTTGTGTAGTTTGCAATATTTGCCTTTATTTATCTGAAAAAGTCTCATGTTCCTTAAGTACATCTACCCTGTTGAACTTATTATGGGAAATAAATATTTAAATAAAAACAAGCTGCTGATTATTTCACATTTTACTTGTGAGCAACGGCACATTTAAATCTTACAAATATAGTTATTTGGCTTATATCGTGATAGATATCGTTATCGCCTGAAATGAAAAAAACATATCGTGATATGAAAAAATCTTATATCGCCCAGCTCTATCTATTGGTAAATCGGTTTGATATAAAACGTGCTTAAAAAGAAATCATATGTGGTATTAAAAAACGGCAAATGTGTTATTGAAAGCACAGTACATATTTTAGTGCAATCACGTCTTAAAAGATCTCTAAAACCCTTTTAAACCTACACCATCCTTTCTATTCTGGTATTTTAAAGAGTACTTAGCGGAAATATTAAACAACCTAAGTAATGTCTGTGAAGGTTCTCAGTCATCCAGGTCATCGTAGTCAAAGGAGCTTGCAAAGAAAAGCGTCTGGACTTCTTTAAGTTGCTTGAAGACGTTTCACCTCTCATCCGAGAAGCTTCTTCAGTTCTAAGGTCAAATGGTGGAGAGTCCCAGATTTAAACCCAGTGGGAGTATCCCCCCACAGAGGGACAAAAGGACCCCCTGATGATCCTCTAATCGCCTGAGCCAAGGTGTGAAAATGGGTGTGGGTACCAATCAGCCAGAGTTTCGGGTGAGGTCAGATGGCCCAGGATGTGAGTGGGCGTTAAGGCGTCTGGGAAGGGATCTCAAAACTGGATTATAGATGGCAGAGAGTTGGTGTCGTAAACCCCGCCTCTGTTCAAAGATGGTCGCTCACAGTGGACATAGATGCTTTCTTTCACTCCTCTTTCAAACCATCTGTCCTCTCTGTCCAAAATGTGAACATTGGCATCCTCGAAAGAGTGTCCTTTATCCTTAAGATGCAGATGGACTGCTGAGTCTTGTCCTGTGGAGGTGGCTCTTCTATGTAAACCCTAAGTAAAAGGGCTGCCAACTATGATCATCATTCATTGTGCACAAATGACTAGCAGAGTTTTGGCCGGTTTGGTCTTTTGCAAATGCAGAATAATTAACTGAAATAACTTAAAGTGCACATTTCTGTTCATTGTTCAGTTTATATATTTTTGTTTTTCAATCTTTACAACTTGCACATTGACACATAAAAAATGTACTGCAATGAATCTTTGTTTTGTACTTCACGAATGTCTACACTGTTTGTCTGCTTTTGAAAATTTTCATTGACTGTTTATTCTGTGAATTTATAGTTTAAAGAAGGACTGTTATTGCAGCCAAGTTTAATTGAGCTGTATAATGGAGGTGATATTTTATCATTACTCTGTGTATACTTTATAACTTCAGTTACACTTGTTTCATCGTGATAAATACAGATTTTTAAAAGAACATATGGTCTGTTATTTACATTTAACATATATTTGCAACACTGTTTAAAAAAGACTAAATGGGTCTTGAAATTCAAAGTTTCAGAGTTGAGGATAAAGATTTGAGACTTGCAAAATAATGACTTGTTCCCATCTCTGTTCCAAAGAAATATCATATCCTTCAATGATTTTGAAGGACAATGAACATCTCAATCAACTCTGTTACTGAAGCATCTTAATTGGTTTTAACAGAAACGTGATGCATTCTTGCTGCTTATTAAAGTTCTGACCTGTATTTCTTCCTGTGAATCATCCCAGTTTTACAAACCTATTCTGTGCAGCTTTATATCGGGTTTCCAGGTGGTCGCCAGCAGTTTGAGCCACTCATCATCAGTTCTGACACCGTCCGCCTCCAGCTTCACTCCCAGCTGCTCTCCATCCGGACTGCTGCAGGGTTCCTCCTCCTGTCTCTCTTTCATCTGTGGAGGCTCTGGATCCTCCTGGAATTCTGAAGAGAGAAACAGAGGTGAAATTCTGAAACCACCAAGGTTAGTTTACCACCAAGCCTCAGTTAGTTTGTTTTTTTGATGCATGCAGGCAGCAAGCCGAGGAGATACCACGACACCCTCCCTATCTTGTTGTGACGCCTGATAAGCGGTAAATGGGCTGATTTTTATATAGCGCTACTCTCCAGGATCACTCAAAGAGCTGTATAAAATGTGCAACATTTAAAGATTTTTGCCTTCTAGCTAACATTCACACACATTCATACTCTGATGGATGCATCGAAGATCAACTTGGTGTTAGTATCTTGCCCAAGAATATTTGGCAGACTGGGGGAGGCAAAAACCAACCTTCAGATCAGTAGATTTAAGTCACAGATCATCAAATTCAAATAATAATAAATAAATGCTGAACTATGAGGCTATTTTTTGCATACAGAATAGCTTTAGTGTTTTGGTTTTTAAAACTTGACTATGAACTTATAGAAAATGCAGCAAGATATTTATAAAAAAGCTTTGAGTATAAAATACACTATATCAGATTCATATCAGTATCTGACATAAAAACGTGGTATCGTGCCATCTCTACTAAACAGTTTCCAACCACAGGAAATTTTAGTGTCTTCTTTTTTTTATGTTTGAGATGCAATTTTTATATACACTGTAGGAAAATATATTATAATGCAAATTTGCACAAATTTTGCATCAAAATAAACTATTTCCAACAATGTAATTTAAATTCTAATCATCCCAGAAACTATACAGAAAGACATAAACTCAAACATGAACTTTAAGAACATCAGCAGATCTTTGTAAATGCCCTATAGGAAAAAAATACATTTTCTGTGAAAGTCTAAGGAGCTCGGAAAGAAAAGCGTCTGGACTTCTTTAGGTTGCTTCAAGACATTTCACCTCTCATCTGACAAGCTTCTTCAGTTCTAGTGTTAAATGGTGGAGAGTCCCAGATTTCTTCCATGAGGAAAAGGACCCCCTGATGATCCTCTAATCGCCTGAGCCAAGGTGTGAAACTGGGTGTGGGTCCCAATCAGCCAGAGTTTCGGGTGAGCTCATTGTGAAACCTGGCCCCACCTTATCATGCGAATTCCTGAGGTCAGATGGCCCAGGATGTGAGTGGGCGTTAAGGCGTCTGGGAAGGGATCTCAAAACTGGATTATAGATGGCAGACAGTTGGTGTCGTAAACCCCCGCCTCTGTTCAAAGATGGTCGCTCACAGTGGACATAGATGGCTTCTTTCACTCCTCTTTCAAACCATCTGTCCTCTCTGTCCAAAATGTGAACATTGGCATCCTCGAAAGAGTGACCTTTATCCTTTAGATGCAGATGGACTGCTGAGTCTTGTCCTGTGGAGGTGGCTCTTCTTCTGGGACTAGACTCTATGTTTTGCTTTTTATACTATACTTACTATGTTTACCAAAATATGAGGAAATCAGGGGCAGCTCAAGACTTAAAAACCTGAACTACACGCTGGCCTTAAACTCGCTGCTTTATCAGCATCAAGGCGTTTATTTCTTTTCAGGGTTTTACTCCTGCTAAACAATAATCTCACAGATGAACTCAAACTGCACTGATTGTTTCAGTACGACTGTGAAACACAGCCAAACACACCTGACTGCAGACTTTAGCTGATGCCCAGTGTCTGACACTTTGTACAAATTAGACTCCGAAATTAAATTAATCACCAAGGTAACAGCTTTCTGCTCCCAGCTAACATCAGAGAAATCCCGGAGACGCTGACGAGCTTTCATGTCTTCATCAACAGAGAGGAACCTGAGCTCAGCACACGTGTCCGTACCTGAGCCGTGTGAGTGTGTGTCGGGTCTCCGGCTGATATCCAGCAGTCTGCGCTGACGCTGGATCTCCTCCTCATACTGGACGATGGTTTTCTGAACCTCGCAGAAGATTTGTTGGCAAACAGCAGCCAGCCTCTCCTGTATGAACTCTCTCAGAGACTCAGCTGAACACATGGCTGCTTCAGCCGCTGCGGGTCGATAGAAGCGACAGCGACGCTGTTTTATTGGTGTTTGATCGACAGGAACAGGAGCGATACTTACTTTGCTGAGCTCGCTGCTTATCAAGGACGGCAGCCATGTCTGCGCAACGCAACTCCTCCCTGCTCTGCTGTGGTTTGCCGTGCGCGGTCACGTGACTCCCTGCAAACCGCCCCAGATCTTACGGAGTCCTGAGAGGGACAAAAGAGAAAAACGGATTCTCAAACTGATACACACACGCTACCGTGACAATGACCCGCTGTCACATTTTATAATTCTCCTCTAATGCCTGTGTTATTTGTGATGATACTGAAACCATCGTCTTAAAAAAGGTGATTGTCACAAGAAGTTTATAACATTGTGGAAAATGTTGTTATTGCGATATTGTTGTGTACAGCTGGGTATTAAAAGTTTAACCAGACTTCAATAATAGTACTGTAAGTGCTAAAAACCTGTATGTTGGGCATTTTTGTGACATTGACTTTCAGGGGTTTTAATAGTGAGCTTCATAGGAAACTGCTCCCTGAGGCTACACCTGCATACTCCTGCCGGCTGTCCCTTACAGTATAAAATAAATTAATCTCACTTTGTTATTTAAACAAACCCACTTGTACCTGCAATGAATTAACCTGTGTTTGAAAAAGGAGGTAAAGACTTTCTTCTAAAAATAAAGTAGAAGGTCTAACACGCTCAATCAGAGAACTACATTTCAATATGTTCTTATTGTTGACACCATCAGACTCTTCTTAGCTGTAAAAACGTCTTTACATGAAATCTAATACAGTATGGATGGTCAAATATGAGGCTGCTGTGATGGGGCACAGTTTGCAACACAGCAGCCCGGCCTCATCACAGCAGAAATCCAGATGCCTTATAGGCACCGCTTTATTATGACAGGATAGAAACTGCTAACAAACCATCTGTAATTCTGAACAAATGAAAATGCTGTGAGGTTCAACTGTGGAGCCTTTTCCAGTTTTAAACCACTCAGGCCAAGGACACCTAGTTAGCAGACAGAGTGCGCACTAGAAACTGTCTCTTCTTCTGACAGTAATTATTGAAGTTAACTCAGAAAGATCAATCAGAGAGAAAGAGACTAAATAAATATCATTAAAAGTAGCTGTACGTAACTGCTCCTGACCCTGAATCCTCCTTTAGTTACGCTGCAATAGGCGTCATGGGAATCCCCCAGCAGGCTGCTATAGATGATTTTCTCAGTATTTTTTAGGGTCTTTGCCTTATGAGCACATCCTTCATTTCTTCTGTTGGGTTCCAACTTAATGTTTGAATTATTTAATTTCTTTAAACTCTTATATAATTTCTCTATATTTTGTATAAGAGGGGCCAGACTTGGACCTAGTTTTTCTTTTTTAAGTGTTCTGCAGGCTTGATGAAGGTGTTTCAAAGACATTCTTTGGACGTTGCTTTTTAAGTCCTGTCCTCGTACCTTAGAGGGAAGTGTATTCCTACTTAAATTCCTACTATTTAGTTTTTCTTGTTTCTGCTGAAAACTTCAATTTGCTTCAAGGAGGAGAGGTCATGCTCTCTCAATTAGCTCAAGATTAGAAAAAGGCAAATGTTCTGATGTTGGAGTTTCATGAATCCAGCTCTGGGAGCAATCTAAATAAACTAAACAGTCATCTTCTCTCAGCTCATTCCACCAGGTAGAAACTACTTCTGCATATTTTTAGGTTGCACTACGTTGTACACTCCACATGATGTCACATTAACAACAGTTTTAGTTAAGCGAACCAGCTGTGGGACTGGCGAGTAGCTTAAAAAAAAAAAGGTGTGATTTTAAGTGATTTCATTCGTTTCCTTAGAAGATGGTTTACTGGGTTTAATTCCCATAATACACTTATTTGCTGGACGGAATGTACCCAGTTGATTGATTGTGGATGTCCTTTGCCACGAGTCGAATATTTTTGGAGAACCGAGGGTGTAAAATGAAATCCTCAGAAGGTAGCCACTATGACTGCTTAAGTTTGATATTGAGAGGAGAAAGCGTAAGAATTACCCACAGTTTTAAGCAGAGTACCAGAGAATCCTGCTTGTTATGTTCATGTTCAGAAACACAAGTAAGTAATAATCATACATTGCAAGCATCACTTTCTGTCTGGCTTGTTTGGTTTGCATAACCTGTATTTTATTAGCTGCAAACCAACAAAACCAGTCAAAAGTTTGGACACATCTTCTTGTTTAATCTAAGGAGCTCGGAAAGAAAAGCGTCTGGACTTCTTTAAGTTGTTTGAAGACGTTTCAACTCTCATCCGAGAAGCTTCTTCAGTTCTAAGGTCAAATGGTGGAGAGTCCCAGATTTAAACCCAGTGGGAGTTTCCCCCCAAAGAGGGACAAAGGACCCCCTGATGATCCTCTACCTAATCACATGAGCCAAGGTGTGAAAGTGTGGGTCACAATCAGCCAGGGTTTCGGGTGAGCTCATTGTGAAACCTGGCCCCACCCTATCATGTGATTTCCTGAGGTCAGATGGCCCAGGATGTGAGTGGGCGTTAAGGCATCTGGGAAGGGATCTCAAAACTGGATTATAGATGGCAGACAGTTGGTGTCTAACTCACTGATAGAGTTCTCCTGCATCTGTACTCGCATCCTGCCGACTAGTCCACTTTTTTCACCACACAACACTCAAACAGCCTCCATAAAGGAAGATTACCAGGTTGGCCCAGTTATGTTAGATATTAGGGCTGGGCCATATCATACCGTTCATAGTAATACCGGTATAATGTTAGGCAATGATAAAAAAAAATGAAATATCGCGATAGAATATGGGTAACCTTCCTTTCCGAACAGATTTTAGTGGCACAGGGCACTCAAAAATCTGTCAAAAATGTTTTAGCATGACTTTGCTAAGCTACGCAACCGCACTGCTTGACGGATTGTTGGAGCATTACGGCTACCGTAGTCGGGAGCCTCGCGGAGTGATACGTACTGTGCTTCAACGTAATATTATTCATTGTGTGTGTTTAACCTCACTTTAAGTTTTGTGCATATTATACATGGTTATGCTGAAATGTCGGCCAATTTCCACTGGAAATGCCTTTTGGTTAAACTGTCAGCAAGGAATTTGCATTTGCACTGTTAAATTTTTATATAACTTTAATGCACATAAAAAACAGCTGCTTGTTTAAGTGAAAATACATTGATGGGGTTTTTTTTGCACTAATAAAGTTGTGGAGTTGTAAAGTATTTTGTCTAGTGTCAGTTATGTTGTCAGTTATATCGTTATCGCAAATTCTCAAATATATATCGTGATAAATATTTTTAAATATATTTTTTTGCCCTGGAGTGCTGCTCTACTATAAGCATACTTCAAATTACTGTGTATGAATAATAATCAAGAGACAAACTTTGAAGATGCAGAGCATGATGTCCCATCATCAGACTGTAAACAAACATCCACCAGGCTTCTTTGTTGGCAAAATTGATGATTCTCCTATCAGGGATCAGTAGAGTGTATTAACCTGTGGTATAAGCAGCAGTCACTGAAATATTACTGTTTCAGATAAGAAATCTAGCACATAAAAGCCAGGGTGGGAGGGATCTCTGCAAACTGACTTACCTCTGCAAGTGTGAAGCTCAACAAAAATCTGACTCTCCAGTCACAGACAAACAAAACCTCCAGCTGGGAGATAGAAAACGCTGTCTGGGTCTTGCTGGATGTTGCTGGTCAGAGTCCCACATTAGCAGAGTGCTTCTTGGTCCCACTGACCCATGTGGACAGCGACTGTGGAGAACTGTTCTGGAAAACAGAGAAGAGAATTAAAATAACAAAAAGCCAAACAGGATTTCCACAAAGATCTGGTGCATCGCTTCACTGCAGTCTTACGTATTTTCCCCACACCTGAATAAAAAATACTGATATATACAAATAACAGCTTCAGCTGATGCAGCCTGACTCAATCCTAGATGTTCAGCACACAGAGACACAGAGGTGCCGTTTAAAGTTTAGTGTTAACCTGAGTCACTGATCATTTGCAGTATTACAGAGTCTGGCAGTCTTTGCATGATGTCCACGTCACTGTAAGTTTCTAGCTGACTCTCAGGTGTGACAGGTGTGCCAGCAGGAAAGAGTAATAATAACCTGCATCCTGAGGTTTGTCATGCAGGATTAAAGGAGCCAGGCTTTGTTCACACAGCTAGGATTGTATTTTACACTGACCCTGGGTCAGTATAAGTATCATACAGTTTAAACGAAGCACTGAAACTTTTTGGGCCCAAACGCCCC